GGGCAGGTGCGGGACACCAGGAAGCCCATTTGGCTTCCCGAGGTGGTTCACAGGCATCCAGGGGTTACCCTACTGCCTAGCGGGTTACTCAAGGCCTGGAAGATGTCTTATTCCAGCAGGCATCTTTGTTACATAACAGGCTCGAGACCTGGATCTGCCTTAGAAACTGGTGATCAAGATCTGCCTCACAAAATACAGGCATCAGTCTAGGCTTGAGGGCAGACAGGAGCCTGGGAACCGGGTCAGACCTCTCCTGCAGGGAGGAGAGGGGAGGGGAGGGGCTGGAGAGGGGTGCCCAGCAAGGACACAGCACACTGCTGCCCAGGGGCCGAGACATCTTTGTCCCGGAAGTGGCAGGGGTTCTCGGCTGTCTGGGGACTCAGGACACTGGGAAGCTGGATGTCACTTGATACCAGCACTGGGGCTGGTGGTGGGTGGTGTTACTCAGAATCAAAAAGCCTCATAGTCTTGAGAGGACTGAACCATCCAGAATGTTTCCTCAAAAGTTCCACATGAGGGCTGGGAAGATGGCTCAGTCAGTAAAGTGCATCATAGATAAGTGTGGGGACCTGAGGTTGATCCTCAGAGTCTGGGTGCAAAAGGCTAGATGTGGCCAGCACCTGAGAGGCAGAGGCAGGCTGATCTCTATGAGTGTGAGGCCAGCCTTCTCTACTTACTGAGTTCCAGGGTAGCTGGGGCTACAGAGAGACCTCATCTCCAACCAACCAACCAACCAAGCAGGATGTGATGTCACTTGTAACCCCAACACTGTTCAGAGACAGGCACCCTGGGCTCACTGGATGAACTGTCTAGCCTTCTCTTTAAGCTCCAGCCCATGCTTCATCAAACAATGAGCAACTCCTGAGAAATGAGTTTGAGATTGTTCTCCAGACTCTATACTCACACATATACAAAGATATACACCTGTATACACACGTGTACCTGTACACACACACACACACACACACACACACACACACACACGAGCCAGCCCCACCCCCATGGATACTATTCTAGTTCATCCCCAGACAGAGGGACCCATCCCAGGAGAGGCATAAAGTTGGGTCTCTGGGAAGGTGGGCAGCCAAGCGAATTGCTTCTTGGTGTTGAAGGGGCAAAAGGTGGTAATGTATGCACCGGATTTCCAGCTTCTCTGAAACAATGTGGAAAACTCCTTGATGGGGCAGCCGGGGTGGTGCGGGCCTGTAATCCAGACACCCAAGAGGCAGAAGCAGAAGGACTGCAAGTTCAAGGCCAGCCTGGGCTACATAGTGCATTCCAGGCCGTGCTGTGCTGCATAGACAGACTGTCATGACAAAGAAAAAAGGAAAGAAAACAGAATTGGAGAGATGACTTGGCATTTAGGGGCCTGGACTGCCCTTGCAGAGGACCTGGGTCCAGTTTCCATGTTAGGCAGCTCACAAACACCTGTAACTGCAGCTCCAGGAGATCCGACGCCTCCTTCTGCCTCCTCGGCACCTGTACATACCCAAACATAGACACGAACGTATACACATGATAAAAATGTAAATCTTTAAAAAGGAGAGAAAGGAAGGAAGGAAGGAAGGAAGAAAAGAAGGTTCGAGAGCTGCAAGCACATGATAAAAATGTAAATCTTTAAAAAGGAGAGAAAGGAAGGAAGGAAGGAAGAAAAGAAGGTTCGAGAGCTGCAAGCATGTGACTCGCCAGTTGTCAAGGCCTCACGTTCTTCCAACAGGACATCCCGTCCGAGGATGGACTGCTCCAACCTCTTTCCGGCGTTCGGGTTCAGCGAAACTGTATCTTCTGCCAAGTTCTTTTCCATTCTGTTACTAAGTCTGGGGGTTTTCTAGGTCCCCCCGGCTTGCTTGGGGGTGCTCAGCTGGTGTCTAGGTGACCTGATCCTTCTCCTCTCACCCCTTGTAAACAGGAAGCTGGCCTTCCAGCACTGAGTGAACTTGAGGGCAGCACCCTGCTCAGCTGGAACTTCAAGAGCTCTCTCAGGGTGTCCAAACATCCTCTTTCCTGAAGTCCTGAGTGGTGGTAACGGAAGGAAACGCAGTGGACAGCTGCTGACCTGGCAAGGTGCTCACGGGTAAGTGTGTGCGTCCCACCTGGGTGGACACCGAGCTGTGTGCAAAATTCAACATCTCTGGAAGGACTTCTGCCTGGAGGGCTGAGCAGGTCCCCCGGGGCTGTCCCCACCTCCCAGAGGACCTGGACCCTCCCTCCCCTCTGAGTTCTGAGCCCAGAGTGAGGGGTGATGTGGCTCTACCATAGGTCACAGGGCCTCCCCAGGCCTCAGTTTCCTTCCTGAAGCAAGAAGGCTTTGTTCTGGTGGTCTCTAAGGTGTGTTCCTGAGTGAGTGTGGCATCCAAGAGAACAGGAGGGTGTCGGGTCTCGAACCCAGGCCCTGCCACTGCCTTTCCGCCTCCAACCCTGTGGGTAGGACTCATTCAGCCCCCTTGGGACTCTGTGTTTATTATGCATGTGTGTGATGCATGTATGCAGGTACATGCATGCATGCATGCATGCATGTGGAAGCCAGAGGTCAACCTTGGGTGTCATGCCTCAGGCACCATCTACCTTGTTTTTGTTCTGTTTTGTTTTAGAGTTTTTTGGGGGGACAGGGTCTCCCTGCAGCCCCAGCTGACCTGGAACTCCCTATGTAGACCAGGCTGGCCTCGATCTCACAGAGGTCTGCCCCTATACCACTATGCCCAGCCATCCACCTTGTGTTTTGAGACAGGGCCTCTCAGTAGCCTAGAACTTAACCCTCAGGCTGGGCTGACCAGCCTGAGAGACCCAGGGATCCGCCCTCTCAACCTTCCCAGAGCTGGGACTGTAAATGCATGTCACCACGCCTGGCTTTGTTATGTGTTCTGACTACTGGACTCAGGTCCTCTTGTTTTGTCCAGAGAACACTTTACCCACTGAGCCATCAACCCTGGTTCCCTCACCCCAAGATTTCAGCAGGACCGGGCGCAGCGCTGAGGCAGGTTTGGCGTGGTAGGCCCATTTCCAGCCAAGTCATCCCAGGGCGGGGTCTGTGTGTTCCCTGCAGCTCCTCCCGGGAGGCTGCAAGCCTCGGGTGGCACAGGAAATGTTTACCAGGCCAGTGCCCCGTGCCAAGCTTCTCGGGCCTGCAGCAGGTCGTCATCCATGAGTGGTGGTCCCAACACTGTTGGCTCAGAGAACACATGGGGTGGGGGTGGGGGTCACCACACAGCGTGTGTGAGTTGGGCTATGGTGCTAGGGAGGAAAGGGTGGGTGAGAAGTCAGGGTGTGTCCGGGCCCCTTCTCTCGGGTCTCTGCAAAGCATTGCCTCATAAGACTGGTATTTTTTCCTGTTGGCAGGCCAAGAGGGCTTGCCCAGGAGCCCGCCTGGGTCATCAGCAGGGAGAGTCTATGGGAATGAGAGGCGCCCGCCCTGTACCCAGCAGCACTTCCTGCCTGAGCTCTGCCTCCAGGGAATTCCCACGGAGATGCCAGGAGAGCTGGCCAGCAAGCAGCGGGCCTTCCTGCCCAGCCAAGGCCAGAGAGAGTCCTGGCGCCTGTTTACCTCTGCCGCCCGGCAGGGCAGGAGCGGGTGCCTAGTTGGGTGAGCTGCTGGGGAGGGGAGGTGCAGGAAGACAGGCCTGAGTGTCTCCTGTCCACCTCTGGTTGTCTGTTTCCTGCTTTACACTGGTGGAGGCCAGGGTGGGGCTAGGCTTCTCAATCTCTTTCCCAAGTTCCTGTCAGGGGATGCTCTTTGGGGTTCCTTCCACGTACCCAGGGATGTCCACCCATGGTAGGGATTATTAGGGGTCTGGGGCTCTGGGGAAGTTGGTCAGTTCTCTATAGGAGGCTGATGAATGGTCCCTGGTGACAGAGTCCACCTGCTTAGTGGCAGGGGCTGGGCTGCATTAACTGATTGACTGCTTTTTATTTTATGTTATGAGTGTTTTACCTGCATATATGTATGTGCAACGTGTGTGTGCAATACCCAGGGACCAGAAGAAGGTGTCAGATCCCTTGGAACTGGAGTTATAGAAACCTGTTAGCCACCAAGTGGGTGCTTCAAACTGAACCCCAGTCCTCTGGAAGAACAGCCAGTGCTCTCAACGGCTGAGCCATCTCTCCAGCCCCCCCGGCGGTTTCAGAACTTTAGGAACAAGTTTTATAGATGGTGAAGTTTGAGTTTTTGAGTAGACAATGTGTGTGTTGGTGCACACCTGCAGTCTGCTACCCAGGAGGCTGAGGCAGGAGCATTGCTTCAAGGAGTCCAGAGAAACCTGGACAACATAGTGCTCTCTCTCTCTCTCTCTCTGTCACTCTCACTCTTGCTGTCACTCTCACTCTCTGTTTTTTGAGGTAGGATTTCATGTAGCCCAGAATTGACTTTTAATTCACTAGTAGTTGAAGCTGGCCTTGAACTCCTGGCTTTTCTGCCTCCACCTCCCAAGTACTGGGCAGCTCTTTTAATTGCTTAGGACAAGAGTCAGGTTTCTAGTTTCCGGTTCCTCCCAGAAGCCACTGTGTCCTCACCCAAGGCCTGCTCCCAAAGCCGTGCCCACAGGCAGGCCGCATTTTGGTGTGCTGGAATTTCCTGTTTGAGGCTGTGCCCCACCAATCCTGCCCCTTCCACCCACCTTCCCCGCTGGGCACTTCCTGTCCAGTGTCTTGTCCGCTCAGCTCCAGCCCTTCTGCTGGCTCTGGGTCCCAGGAGGCTACAGCTTAGCCTTCAGTGATTAGGAACTGAAGCTTAGCAGGTAAAGGAGCTTTAGGCCAAGCCTGACTTCCTGAGCTCGATCCCTAGAACCCACATGGTGGAAGAGAGAACAGACTCCCACAAGTTGTCCTGTGATCGCCACACGTATGCATGCACACAATAAACATGCAATAAAACATTTAAAAAATTAAAACACTGACACGTCTATTTAATTGACCCTCATCCTCCCTCCCCTCCCCTCCCTCCCTCCCTCCCTCCCTCCTTCCCTTCCTCCCTCTCTCCCACCTTCCCTCCCATGTTCTTACCCTGGACCAAGTGACTGCATTGAGACAGGCAGTCATGATGGTGATATGGCTCATTCCAGATGACACCTGGAGTGGAGATGGCTGTGTCCCAGTGCATAGGTAAGACCCTAGAGATCAGCTCGGGAGAGCTGGGAAAGGTCTGGACAGGCGGTGTTGGGGCCTCAGCCGTAGCGCCTTGGCCGCGAAGGACAGTAAGCCCTCACTGCAGTCCTGATCCCCGAGTGTCTTACAGTGAAGGATGCTGAGGACAGGGGGTGACATAGTCAGGGAGCTAGAGCCAGGGTGGGCCCAGGTCTCTCAGGTTGCAGCTGGGACTTGAGTTGGGCCCCAGCCCACCTCTCTGAGCTGTGCCACCATCCACCCTGGCACTTTCAGAACCACAGGCTGTAAGTGGCTCTCCAGCTGTGAGTGCAGACCTTGCACTGGCCTGTCCCCGTCAGGGAGCCAGGACTATCTAGGTGGGTAAGGAAGATGTGGTGTTTGGCTCCTCAGAGATGAGCGGGGACTCTGAATATCCTCAGAGCAGCTGTAAGAGGGAGGAACGGGAGGGACAAAACCACCATGGTTCCACAGATCCAGCCAGATAGTCAAGAGTCGCCCCCCCCCCAACCCCAATGGCTGCCTGCAGTGGAATGGCAGAGGTCTTGGGAGTACTGCTATTACTTCCCAAGCCCACCCTGGGCCTCTGAATGGAAGCATTCTCCCTGGAGGAAGGAGCTGGGAACTTACCTGGCTCCCGAAGCTCCAACATACAAGATTCACACAGCACCTACCCTGTTCCACAGGCAGTGAGCAGAGGCCTCAGCACTGCTTCTTGCCACAGAGACGCAACTTTCATGAGTGCCATTCGTGGTGGGATGGTGCAGTTGCCTGTGTGGCAGGTCACCTGTGCCTCTGTAAGGAACCCCAGTCACCCCATAGGCTTATCAAGACGGGAACCCCAGTCACCAAGACAGACTCAGGTGGGATGGAGTCTCCAGAGATTTATTCACCCAGGAAAAGTCACATGGCGCAAAGCCCCTGGACACCACTGCTTGGGATACTTGGTATGTAGGAGTCTTTTTCCTGTATTTACCTCTGTGTCTAATTACATGATTGTATACAGCCATTTTAATATAATTAGCACCGTGACAACCAGTTTTTATTATTGCAATATAAAAAGCCATTAAAGAAAATATTTTATTAGTTTAAATTACATGTGTGCGTTTGTGAGGAAAGTATGTGCGTGTAAGTGCAACTCTTACAGAAGAGGGGGTTTTATCCCCTGGGGCTGGAGTTATAGGTGGTTGTTAGCTACCATGTGGGTACTGGGAGCTGAACTGGAGTCCTCCAAAAGACCAGCTAGTGCTCTTAGCCACCGAGCCAACCCAGGTCCACCTTACTTTTGGAGACAGGTTCTCTCACTGAACCTGGAGCTCACTGATTGGTTAGGCTGGCTGGCTGACCAGTGAGCCCCTGGGATCCCCCGTCTCTACCCTGCCAGCATGCCACCACACCTGGCATTTTATGTGGGTGCTGGGGACCCAAACTCGTGCTGGCAGTGGTGACACTTTGCCCACAGAGCCGTCTCCCCAGCCCCTGTTTCATTGCTTTTTAAAAATTACAGTAAAACCTTTTCAACTTGTCCACGTCTAGGTGCCTAGCTTGGCGGTATGAAGTATCAGGCAGCCCTCTCCACCATCCACCTCCAGAACATTCCATCATCTTTCCAGACTGACATCCTGTCCCCATGAAACACCACTTTCCAGTTGCTGTAGCCCGTCCTGCTGTCTGTCTCTTCAGGTGACGGCCCTGGAGACCTGTGCAGAAACTCACAGTGTGGCACTGTGTCCCCTCAGCCAAGTGCCCTCGAGCCCCTCCCCTGAGGTAGCAAGAATCATTTTCAAACAATTCTCCAGTCTTTACCGGTTATCCCAGTCACCCCCCACCCCTAGTGGTCCCTCATGGCACCCCAGGGCTCCAGGAAGCAGACATCCTGGATGGTTAACAGTTGGGTGGGGCCAGACCTGTAGTAGGGCCCCTGGCATCAAGTAGAATGGGCAGAGCCGGCCGACTGCTCCCTTCTCCCTGTGGGTAACTCAGCCGCCTCTCATAAACCAGCACAAAGCTGGGGCTGGCTGACAACAGACCTTCGAGTTCCTTGGGTCAGGTCACGGACAATTTGCTTTTGAACCTCAGGGCCGGCTGGGGCGGTCGCCTCAGGTCTCCAGGGAGTGACTCTGTCCCAGCCTGGCCATGAAAGGGATGTTTTGTCCCCATCTCCACACAGCCTGCAGGGAGCCCATTGGGGGCCACGTGCTGCAAGGGCTGCTGGGTCCCATCCACTTACCTCAAAGGATGAAGACTCACATCATGGAGATCACACACCATGGTCTTCATGGGGTCCTGAGGAGCTACGGACCTGGGTCCCCTCTGGCAGGTGTGGCCGGAGAAGCTTGGTTGGGTTAGAGCCTCACCTCAGGGGTTTGGCACTAACTCTTGGACCAAAAACAGGCTGACGGCTGCTACCAGTTCCCCAGCCCCACCATGCCACTGGGCTAAGGCTCTGGGCAGGGCACAAGCTGGCCTGGCTCTTCCTCCATCCTTACCCTAGGTGTCTGGAACTTTGAGAACTCTGTGGGGAGGTAAGGGGACAGAGGGGGATGCAGAGGGTCCCCTCCCCACCCTGTGCCATCGCCTGCCCCTACTGTATGCCCCTCCCTCCAGTCTCCTTTCTGCAAACAGGGCTTGTTTTTTTTAATTGTTTGTTTTCATTTTTGTTCTTTTAAGACAGGGTCTCCCTGTAGCCTTGGCTGGCCTGGAGCTTGCTGCGTAGACCAGGTTAGCCACAAATTCACAGAGATCCTCTTGCTTCTGGCTCCTGAATTCTGGGATCAAAGGCGTGCACCACCACATCTGGCTCTGCAAACAGTTTTAAGTGAAAAGAAATACTAAGTTTTGGGCTGGAGCTGCAGCTCAGTTGGTAGAGTGCTTCCACTCAGGTCATTGGGCCACGCTGCTGTGGACACCTATGAGCAGGTCTCGGTGCCCATGTGAGCTTTCAGCTTCTTTGGCTAAAAACTAAGGCACTCCATTGCTGGGTGGCATGTGGCTGGGCAGGCTGTGCACATCACTGAGCCACCTTTCCTTGGATGGTCACTCCTGACCCACTGGAGTCCAGATCCCCTCAAGCCCCAGTCTGCCTCTGACCTTCCCATTCTGGACCTCTCTGCCCTTACCCTCTCCCACAGCCTTTTCACAGTGACCTTTGGAATTTACTGGAGACATGAGCCATACCCACAGGTTTGGTTTGGACTGGGGTTGGGGGTACGTTGGAGCACTGGTTCCAGGCAGCCCTGGGGTGGGTGTCAGGAGACAGAAGGTCAGAGCATGGGTTCTGGTGAGGGGTGACCCATGGGAACTGGGGCTCCATTTCACTGGGGACTCCTGAGGAGCAGTGTAGTCATATTGTGTATAGACTTGTGTTCATCCACAGGCTCCTCCCCTCACTGGCTGCTTGGGGACGGCTCTGGGGTCTCCTAATGGTCACCTCTCAGTCCTGGAGGAACTCAGGCTGAGGGTCCCCACTCCTTCCTCACTGTGACTCCTGTCCAGTTTCTCTAACATCCCAGAGATGACCCTTATCCCAGACCTCCCTTCACCGCACCGCCTCATACGGACACCACATTCCTCCACACTCCCTGCCCCCCACTGCCTGTGACCCACAGTCATCTCAGATCTTTTTTGCTCCCCTCACTGCTCTTGGGACCAGCCTCTGTCTGAACTTGAACTTGGGCATGTCTAGAGGAGAGCAACAGGGCTAAGTGTATGGCCTACCTGCTCCGGCCTCTGATCATCAGGAATCTCAACTGCCCACCAAGCCAACCCTTCCCCCACCCCAGCCCTTCCCTGACTCAGGAGCCCCCTAGGCAGGACCCTAGTTCACCCTCATGATACCTCCCAGCAGTGGCCTGCCCTCTGCCCATCATCTCAGCTCGGCTGGGAGGTCCCCAGTTGTCAAACATGCCTCATGCCTGAAATCTAAGAGCATCCTGATAGGCCCCACTTCTGGCTTCTCTGATCCCCTTTATGGCAAGGTTTGGACACTCTGGCTGCCTCCTGTACCCCACATGCTCTCTCCAGTCCAAGGCCAGAAGCTCCTGACCCCACCCCAGGCCTCCTCAATGGCCATCCCATCACCAACCTAAGGGCCAATCTCTGCCTACATGTTGCCTAGCTGGTGGATCATCCCAGATCCAGAGACTTCCTCCTCCCACATTCCTGGGACCCCCTTTGAATCGCGGCAGACTTCTGCTCAGCCTCCTGCTTCCCCAGACCAGCCCATGTTCCCTGTTCACCCTGTTCAAGGACCTGCTGTCCACACAGGGCTCTGCCTTACCATCTCAGCATCCTGGACTCCAGCTGTGAGATCAGTCAGCACCCCCACCTGCCCAGGGAAGCTGGCACATGCATCTCCACACCCAGTGTCCAGGGATGCCCAGGAAAGTGAGGTGGCATCCACGCACCCACAGTCAGGAAGCAGGAAGCTGGGCACGCGGGTGCTCAGCCCCTTTCTCTGTTTATAGTCCCGGATCCCAGCCAGGGATGACCCCACCCACAGTGGGCGGGTCTTCCCACCTCAGCATAATCAAGATAATCCCTGCCTTGCATGCCTGCTTCTCCCCCTCCCCCCATCATTGCAGTTGATTGACAGCATTAGCTATCCCGGGCAGCTTTCTAAGAATGGGGTCAGTCATTGGGGTGGTCTCTCCCACTACTCCGGTGGTGTGTCCCACCCAGTGACTGCCCGAGGATCAGTGGATGAATGGGATGTGCTGGTGGGCACTTTGCTCCTTGATATTTACTCTTTCATCTCCTGTTAAATATTAAAATATTTTTCTGGTTATAAAAGATTCCGAATAGTTGGGGGAAATGTGGAAAATTCAGGAACTGATAAAGAAAAAATAAAGCAAAGAGAAAAAAAAATACTCTGTAAAGGAAGTGATGTTTCATGTTTGTGTAGGCTCAGCTGGATTGAGAATCACCATGGAAACACACCTCTGGGCACATATGTGAGGGCGTTTCTAGAGAGGTTTAACTGAGGAGGGAAGACTCACCCTGAATGTGGCGGGGGGACCATTGACTGGGGTCCCTGACTGACTAAGAGGGGAAAGTGAATGGGGAACAGATAAACAGTACCAGAGGGTGACCTTGGGACTCCGTGCGCACGCATATGTGTATAAACGCCCTCACACATAACCACATCACATGCAAGTTATTTGCACTGAGAAATAAAAATTGTGTGATTTACAGTGTGTAACATATTTGGATACAAGCTGACCGCAGGGAACCAAGCACTGAATGATGTTCACATGCAACTCATCTCCCACCATGATCCGTTCAGAGTACCTAGGATCACATTTAGGCTCAGGCTTGTGACTCCAGCTCTCAGGAGGCTAAGCCAGGAGGATGACTGTGAGTTTGAGGCCAACCTGGGCTACAGAGTGAGATTCTGTCTGGGGAAAAATAAAAGCACCAAACTAAAAAAACTAACAAGCAGCAAAGGACCAAGCTTAGTTTTTTTTTGTTTTTGTTTTTGTTTTTTTAATCATCTACTCACTCATCCATCCATCCATCCATCCATCCACCCACCCACCCATCCATCCATATACCTGAACCATTCATTCATCTATCCATCCATCCACCCATCCACCCATCTACTTACCCACCCATCCACTCATCCACCCATCCATCTGCCCATCTCTTAATCATCTACTCATCCATTCATCCATCCACTCACCTATCCATCCATCCATCCATCCATCATCTGTCATCTGCATCCATTCATCTATTCACTCATCCATCCATTTGTCGTCTGTATCCATCCATCCATCCATCCATCCATCCCCCCCCCCACCCATCCATCCATATACCTGAACCATTCATTCATCTATCCATCCATCCACCCATCCACCCATCCATCTGCCCATCTCTTAATCATCTACTCATCCATTCATCCATCCACTCACCTATCCATCCATCCATCCATCCATCATCTGTCATCTGCATCCATTCATCTATTCACTCATCCATCCATTTGTCGTCTGTATCCATCCATCCATCCATCCATCCATCTGAATCCATCCATCCACCCATCCACCCATCCATCTGCCCATCTCTTAATCATCTACTCATCCATTCATCCATCCACTCACCTATCCATCCATCCATCCATCCATCATCTGTCATCTGCATCCATTCATCTATTCACTCATCCATCCACTTGTCATCTGCATCCCATCCATCATCTGTCATCTGCATCCATTCATCTATTCACTCATCCATCCACTTGTCATCTGCATCCATCCATCCATCCATCTACTTACCCACCCATCCACTCATCCACCCATCCATCTGCCCATCTCTTAATCATCTACTCATCCATTCATCCATCCACTCACCTATCCATCCATCCATCCATCCATCATCTGTCATCTGCATCCATTCATCTATTCACTCATCCATCCATTCATCATGTGTATCCATCCATCCATTGTCTGTATCCATTCACCCATCCAGCATCCACATCCATCCATCCATCCGTTCATCCATCCATCCACCCATCATCTGTATCCATCTATCCATCCATTCATCCATCCATCCATCCACCCATCCATCTGCCCATCTCTTAATCATCTACATCCATTCATCCATCCACTCATCCATCCATCCATCCATCCATCCATCATCTGTCATCTGCATCCATTCATCTATTCACTCATCCATCCACTTGTCATCTGCATCCATCCATCCATCTACTTACCCACCCATCCACTCATCTACCCACCCATCTGCCCATCTCTTAATCATCTACTCCTCCATCCATCCACCCATCCATTCACCTATCCATCCATCCATCCATCCATCCATCATCTGTCATCTGCATCCATTCATCTATTCACTCATCCATCCATTCATCATGTGTATCCATCCATCCATCCATTGTCTGTATCCATCCACCCATCCAGCATCCACATCCATCCATCTATCCATCCATCCATCCATCCACCCATCATCTGTATCCATCTATCCATCCATCCATTCAGCCATCCATCATGTTTCCATTCATCCCCCACCCATCCACCCATCCAGCATCCACATCCATCCATCTATCCATCCATCCATCCATCCACCCATCATCTGTATCCATCTATCCATCCATCCATCCATCCACCCATCATCTGTATCCATCTATCCATCCATCCATCCATCCACCCATCATCTGTATCCATCTATCCATCCATCCATCCATCCACCCATCATCTGTATCCATCTATCCATCCATCCATTCAGCCATCCATCATGTTTCCATTCATCCCCCACCCATCCATCATCCATCCATCCATCTATACCCATCCACCCATTCATCCATCTGTCCATCCATCCATCCATTCTCTTAATCATCCATCTGCCCACCCATCCATCTTCTTACCTATCCATCCATCCATTCATCCATCCATCCATCCATCATCTGTTTCCATTCATCCCCCACCCCCCCATCCATCCATCCATCCATCCATCCATCCATCCATCCATCCATCATCTGTATCCAGTCATCCATCCACCCACCCACCCACCCATCCATCCATCCATTCATCCATCTATTCACCCCCTTGTTCATGGATTAATTCATTCATGGACTCATTCATCTCAGCAGCACTCCTGTATGCATGAGCTTTGTTTCAGGAACATGGTGGAGAACATTTGGCCAGTATGGGGCTCACTTTCTGGTTGGAGAGAGGTTACAAGAGGAATCCAAAAAGACTGAGTTGTGAGAAGTTGGGAAGAACTGAGGTGGAATGGAGGAGTGAG